CTAATTTGTATCACGACATAATCATTATTTTAATGGCATGTTCATAATTTTGAAATAAATTCAAAATTTATTACTATAATAAGGCTGAAATCGTAATATATTCCATAATTTTTCTTCATTAATTTTAAAAAATTTTGAATTTAAATTTGAATAATTTTAAGGCTATTACGATACAGCAAATTATTACAAATAGATCGAGTTTAACAAATCGTCGTAGCACCGGAAGAATTTTTAATTTCACACTCACTCAATCAGCAATCGAATATCAAAATCGTCAAATTTTAACTCTAAATTTCGAAAAATTTGGAGAGTGCTAATAAATTTCACTTATTAGAAGAGTGTTGTATACCATTGCTACTCAAAATACCTGCATTATATAAGATTTTAATGATTACATTTTTGTAATTTTAAGTTATTATCGGAAAAAAATCAATCGATTTAATGGAACATCAAAAATCTGTAATTTTTATCAATTTAACCCAAATAATTATTATCACTATAACATTTTTCATAACAATAACAATAGAAGAACAAAATAATAAAAGTACTATCATTTATAAAAGTTCATTGAATCGAACTGATAACAATAATTATTATGATAATAATTATAACAATAGTAAGAAAATTTACGATAATATCAAAGATAATTTGATCTGTTATGCTACTATTTCCGTACAGTCCAATAATATTGAAAATAATTTAAAATTAAATATAAAAAAGAAATCTTTTAAGAAAAATGTAGAACAAAAATCAAAAACATCATCATCATCATTGTTGTTATCAATTTTATTTAATCATTTAAATGATACTAAAAGTTATACAAATGGATTATCATCATTATCATCTACTAAAACATTATTAAAACAATATCAACAACAGCCACATTTAAACATACAGCCGGAAAATCATCATCAACTTAAACGGGATACCAAACAAGTAGAGACGCCAAAATTGAAAAGAAATCAAGAAAATGAAAAAGAAAAATCAGGACGATTATCCTTTACTTATAATTACAAAAATTATAATAAAAAAAGAAATAATAATGAAAATGAGAGAAAAAATTTATTAAAAGAAAAATTAATTTATGAAATTGCTATAAAATATAAACAAATCTTTCGATTAAATTTACTATCATGCCACAAGGCATCATCATCACTCACATCAATACTTTCAAAAATAAATGTTGATAGAATGCAAACACCATCAAATATAATACCAAAATCTGGAACAGGAAAATCTTTAACATCAATATCATCGGCTTCAACAATAACATCATCAACTTCAACATTAGTATCAAATCATGAAAAAATTTCCAATAAATTTTATTGCAACAACAATAACAATTACAACAGTAACATAAACAATATCACTAATATTAAAAAATTGCAATATGAATATGTGCAACAAAAAGAAAATTTTAAAAAGAATCTACAATTGAATACAATGAATTTTAAATATAATAATAATAAAAAGGATATAGAGCAAAAATATGAAATTAATATTAAAAAGAATTTATCAAAAAATTTTATTGATACTGTTACATTATTACGATATCTTTTTACACAACACAATACTTTCTCCAATCATCACAGTAATTATCATGAGCGTAATGTTAACAATCATAAAAATAATAATAATAATGCGAATGTAGACACATTCAATTCTCAATTTCATCAAAATCCAAGATTGAATGAAGACAAAGAAGAAGAAGTAGAAGAAGAACAGCCATTAATTCAACAAAATTTAAAAGAAATAAAGCAGGAACAACAGCAACACCAGAAACAATTCAATATAAATAATGAAGATATGAAAAATATTTATAAAAATAATAATAAAAAATTTCATTCATTTCATCAATATAAAACAAAGAATAATCAATTGTATCATAAGAATTTTCATATGATTGAAAATTCTGATAATAAAAATAATAAAAATGAGAACTGTAATATTAAAAACAATTGTAAATTGAAACAACAACATCAACAACAAGAGCAACAACAAAAATACATTCAAAATAAAAAATTAAATTATAATGCCGATAGCATTTCAATCAAAGTAATACCAATTGAAAAAATATTGCATTCATTTCCAACTTCAACAACAACAAAGAAGACGACAGCTACGATGACAACAAGAACAACAACAACAGTAACATCTTTACCATCTCGTTCTACTAATATTTTATTTGGCTCGTCATCAATATTGCAAGTTACTTCGTCATCATCATCACCATCATCAAAAATATCATTACCAAATTTATCATTGTACCAGAAAAATTCAAGTAATTCTACATTGAATCCATTTAATAATATAAATCTCAGTAATAATCTGAATTTTAATAAGAAGTCAATTTTTAATGATAAAATATCATCATCACCAATAGCAATACCTGAAGTCAATTCTTCATTATATTCTTCAAAAATTTTCGCGCTAAATTTCAGTACTACTACAATTAATAATGATAGCACGAACAGGAATGGTAATAACAAGAATATTTTTGTTTTTTTTTTTTTTGAAATTATTATTGAAAATTTAAATTACAATTTGAATATTGCAAGTATATTTTAACTAAGTGTGTATATTATACTAAGTGTAGAGTAGAGTGTAAGAAGAATATTTAAATAAGATCCTCAAACACAGGGAACTAATAGCTTTAAATTCTGCACAGATAGTTATTTTTAACGCACGCTGGCCGGCGTTGTGGAAGAGTAATATCAGCTTTCTAGAACGCATTGTCTATTGATACAAACAACGTGCCGATAAGGGGTTTAAAAAATTTAGGAAAAAATAATCTGTAACAAGTAGCATGCTACGCATATCGTTGAATAGGCTTGGCTGTCATACGAGCATGCGGCTTATTATGATATATTTTTTCTAAATTTCGAGGTCGCGGAAATGAATAAGCGTGAGATATTCTTCTACATGAACTCAAATTTGTTCTTTTTCAAGACTATGACGTCGTGAGTTCCATTTTTTCGACATTTTATACACCCTATATCAGTCAATATCAAATTTTGTATATCCCCAATAACGCCAACTATCATTATTTTCAATAATAACCACACTACACACATATGCACATGCATTTTACTTATAAACTTATACTTACTTTTAATTATTTTTAGGTAAACTGAAATCAAAAGAAAATTCTGGAAGTTCCTCATCAAATAACGATTCTAATTTTGATTCTAATTTTAATATTTTACATAATTATAATTTATCAAGTAACAAATTATATGATCGTATTGCAAAATATGAAAAATTTCATCAAATTATTATTCTGGATTTGATGGCATGTGGTGAATTAAAATCAAAAGAAATTCTTAGAATGGTAAATATTAAATTTATTTGTAAATCCTGTGCATCTAACTGTGTGTATATGCACGATAACATGTTAAAGTAAATAAGATTAGAAACCTAGTAGAAATTTGTAGATTTAATCTCAAAGAAAACCATTACAGCTAGTGAACTAGTGCAAGTAGTAAATATTAATTATGTATTCTTTAATTTCACCTCATAAAAATAATGAAAATCTTATTCCATTTGTAACAATAGCGCGAGTGCTATATAAAAATAGTTCTATACATACATAGAATTATAGTCTGAGCATCTATTTTTAGTTTTCTTTTATATTAATTAAAATATATTTATAGCACTCGTCACGCCTGCAAAATATCCATTCCATTAATTTTAAATAGAAATCTGTTATGAACTACAGACCAAAAATCTATTAGTAGCAAATTGATTCGTAGATTAGCAGGTATTGACCTAAGACCAAATCAATGCATCGGTAAAGATTTATTGTATTGTAACATTCGACCATTTATAAATCTGCATATAATCCTCACGTAGTTACAGATTCGTCCAAGCCGAGTGTGTCACCACCCGATCTAACGCTTCATAAAATCAAAAATATGGCAAAATCATGGCAAAATCTAAACTAACGCTACCCTATTTTGTACATGTGATAACAAAGTCTACAATTTCAAGTAAGAAGGCCGATCAACAATTAGGCCTCTCTTCTACTATATCCTCAATGCTCCCTTGGGAGTCCTAGAGACCTGCTTCCTGGCACCTGATCCCAAAACACTTTTTATCATCGCTTCATTTACTTGGTCCTATACATCTCGCGCCGTCTATACGCCCACATTCACATTTCTTTTAAATGAAAATCTAACAGAGCTGTATCAGTTCACAGAGCTGAAATTATTTTCCGAAATATTCCAAAGTAAAAAGAATTTAACAACTGCTTAATATTTTATATTCCGAAGTATTCTGATTTATACATAATTCTGCTTTTTTAGGTTAAGGTACGACATAATCATATTCCTTTCTTATTTATGCAAACTCAAATATTTATTTATGAAAATTCGATTTTTTTTAAATAAATTTTAAATTTCTAAATTTTTATTTTATTACATTTATTATAAAAATTTACTAATACTCTAAAAAAAAATTTTTCATAGGCATCCAAGAAAAATTTATTTAGTTCAACATATCATTGGATTCTTATTGATGACAATATTGATAAATCTTTCAATCATATTAAAAATGAAAATATCAACAATAATGATAAAAGTTATGAATTTTTAATAAAAAATAATCAAAATACTTATTTAACTAGTAATAATAATAATAATGCTAATAATGATTATGTTAGTAATAATAACATCATTAATAAAAATTCAAGTAGAAAAAATCAAGGATCAAACTCTTATAAGAATAATAGCAACAATAGCAATAACACTAATAAAGATGACAATAATAATATTAAGAAAATATCAATTGACAACATCAACATCATGAATCATAAAAGTTCAACTATTAATATTGTCACAACCAACAATAATGATACTAAAACTTATAGTAATAAAAAAGAAATTTATAATAATAGTAGTGGTGATTGTTATAATAATGATGATAATCAACATAATCATTATTATTATGATGAAAAGATTAAAAATGAAGAAATAAATCAATATAAACAGGATAAAAAGGATATTTCATTTATTGAAAATTTCCTCTCTGAATTAAATATCAATATTAATACAGAACTAATATTAGCAAAACGATATCAAAAATCAATTATAGATGGTAACAATAATAATAATGATAATAATGAAAAAGGGGAAATCAATTCAAATCATATGGATTATTATCAACTTTTTGATGTGTGGTGAGTTTAAAAAAAATTTTTTTTAAATTATAATAATATAAAAATAAAATGTAAAACGTAAAGAACAAGAGAAATAAGTTCGCAAAAGAGCGAAGAGTGAGAAAACTTACAAAACAAAATTCTCTAACAGCTTTTAATTTGCCTGAGTTGATCTCAAAACTCTTTAATTTATTACAAATTATTACAATTAAGAAGTAAAAACGTTTCAGCTGGTATAAACCGATTGAATTATACCCTGCACCTTTCGTTATTGTGTAGCAATTACTGGAACCTGTGGAATCCTTCTATAGAAACTTCACGGACATGTCTGACCTATAATTGGACATCCGACTGCCAAGTTTCATGAATCTGACTTTATAATTTTTCCAAATATGTAAAATAAGCTTTTGAAGTTGTATGGCAAGTACCCGAACCTGTCAAGCAATTCCACTAAAATTTCACAAATATATCTAATCTATAATCGAACACACAACTGATCGGACGGACGGACGCACATGTCTAAATCGACACAGAATTTTACGCTGAGCAAGAATATATATATATGTACATATATGTCCATACCGCAGATGACTCCTTCAAGTAGTTACAAACTCCATAACAAAGTTAATATACCCTTCACGAAGTGCAGGGTATAAAAATTAAATTTTTTATATCACAGAAGAGAGAAAATTTTAACTTTTAAGCTATGATCTCAATTATTATTGTTTCCATGAGCCATTTTTCTTTAATGATTAGAATTTAGATCAGAATTTAGATTTATATTCAAACAGTTCATTTCGCCCAAAATCAAAATTTAATCATTAATATAATCATTAATTGCTAATCAAAATTTTATTCTAGTTTCACACTATTATGTATATCTAGCCGCCGATTTCTACAAAGAAAAAAGTAGTCACTATAGTGTTAATAAAGTACACTACATTGGAATCCAATTTATTAATTTATCGCGTTCATATCAATTTAAGCTAATATTCCAAGAGCATCAACTCAATTGATGAGTGATTTCAGTAATTCGGAACTACATTCCGTACAGCAGTGCATTATTATGAGCTTGTTGAAGAATGTGCTTGATGAGAAATGTCCTCTAAGTATTGAATAAGACAATAAGACATTCTGGTCATGCGATTTAACCAGTCAAGGCTATTTTCTCCAAAAAAGTTCCCACATTTATTTCATTATGCTTTAAAAAAATACAAAACACTATGATCTTGCATTCGTTTCCTTAAATTCTCTTTAAATTTTCTCCCATCACACTATTTTAAATTTTTTTTCTAAATATTTCCCATAATATTTTTTCTTTTTGTTCTTTTTTTTTATTTTATGGTTTTTTGTACATGTTATGGATTTTGAAATTGGTATTAAAAGTTTTTTAAGCGAAAAATCAAACTTTAAACTGAAAGACAATCTGGGAAATCCACACAAAAGTATTATTAAACTTTCTCTAAGCAAAATCTCAAAAAGAAAAATGAAAACAAAAGAAAAAAATATTTATTTTTTTTTCCATTTTTCTCTCTTTCTATCTTACACACATTTTATATATAAGTTTAAAATTTTATTGACAATTCAAGTAATATATCGACTTAAAAATGAAAAAGAAGAAGAAGAAGAAAACAAAGGACAATATAAGAGAAAGTCAAATATCCTTCGACTTAAACTTTTTCATTTGTTTCACATTTTCTTTTATTGTTTTATATAAATCGAGAAAATTTTCATTGAACATTGAACATTAAATTATGGTATATTTGCCCCATATATATTATAATATGGTTATTATTTTGAAATGAGGTCAGAAAAATATTAAATTTATATTTAATAAAAATTATTTTTTTTATTTAAGATCCGATTCATGGAGCTCACTTAATATATTCTTAAATTAAAATGCGTATACCATAAATATAATTTTTCCTTTCCTCGTCAATTTAATAATTACACGATTTTCATAATTTTTCAGACTAGTTGTTGTCTAAATCTTCTATATTATTAAAGTTCTCTTATTGCATACTTATAGGAGAAGAATATAAATTAAAGAAACATTACCATTCAAGGGCGAATCAGATCGATTATAAATTTAAGACACGAAATTATAAGTTCTCACGGAAAAAGTGTTGCATATTAACTTTTATTTTATATTACTTTTTTTATTTAACCTTATAATTTCGATGAAATCAGATTATTGCAGAAAATTAGAACATTTGCTAGTTTAAGAGGCAATAATTCGAAAAAGGAGTAAAATTATAAAAACATTCATTTGCAACACAGTTAACTGTCATGAAAAGAATCAAAATTGCAAAAGTTAACTCTCAATTGACTACTCTATTTTACATCTACTATGACAAAACGAGGAGTTTCTACTCTCCGGATTAAGAAAAAAAAGCCAAGGACATAATACCTTACAGTGGTTTCAATTAAAACACAATAAATTGTTAAAAGAGGCGTTAAAACATTTAAAATTTTAAGTGTGGGAGATAGACATTTCTTTACAGAGGGATAGGTTTTCTTACATATCCAGTTCAGCAAACAAACGAACAGACAGATAAGTTGAAACTTTATAAAATAGATAGTTCAAAATTTAATACAATATAGGTAGTTGCAATGCACATACGACATAAACTGGGTTAAACCTCACAAATTCACTAAAAACAATAATTTGCAGTTTAAGAATCAATACTACACAGGCACAACATAATAACAAATTCCTTTGAATTCCTTTACTCTAAACAACTTTGATTTCAAACCTTCCTTTTTATTATAAGTCCTTAGATAGTTATCCTTAGATATTTATCCCAACAGTCTTACAAATCTTAAACTTTACTTGTACTATGTTACTTTGAAAAACTTCAAAAATAAACCTAGTAAACTTAATCATGTCATCCTCATTTGTATTTATTTGTTAATAATTTCTTTGGAACTATTAAAACACTGGAGAATACTATAAGGTTCGCTATATAATGAAGTTCATACTAAGAAAACATATTTAAAAATAAGAAATTCAAGTTGTAATTTTTAAAGATTTCAAATAAAACTTTAAAAAATCATAATTTTTTCGTTAGATTTCTACAATTTATAAAAATAAAACAAAAATATTTTGCTGATCTTTAAAATTTGTACAAGAACTTTTCGGTTACTTCTTCCTTCTTTTTTATGAACAAAAGTATTAAATAATGACAAAAATTCATAAAGTTTAAAAAGAAAAAATAAAGTTTTTTTTACATTTTCTATCAGTTTCGTAGTCTTTCTTCCGAAAATTCCAAAACTTTTAAAACTTTTATTGAACTAGATTATTAAAAAAATTTTTTTCTTTTTTAAATTTTTAAATATATTTTACATTAAACATATTTCGAAAATAAATTTCGTATAGGGAAAATAGGAACATTTATTAAAAAGAGTTCAATCTAGAATCGTTTTTATGATAGAAGCATAACTAGCAAAGTTGAGCCTTCTCTCTATCTTTAGGGGTACAATGTCGCCACAGGCCGATTTGCATTTAGATAAAACTAGTTCAGACCAAAAATTTCGAACAAGTCGTAATGGGAAGCCGATCTCAGTATATTTCTCAATACATTAAAAAATCATAAAATAGGTTAAATTAAAGTTAAATCGAGCACCCGCTCAAAGGCCAGTTTCCTAATAAACTAAAGCACGGTGTAAGGCACAGAAGACCGCAACGCTGCCGCCTTGAGTGCAATTCCTCCACAATTTCACTTCTCTTGCGAGCGAGAGCAACATACTTTCCCAGAGAGTGTACTGAGGTATTTTAAGTAAATTAAGTTTAAAATTTAATTCCTAAACTGTTGTTACTTTTAAAAGAAAACTCCCTTTTATTCGGAATAAAATACTTTTTGATTTTGCTAATATATTTCGTGCGCTACATACGGACTTTATCAAAGCCGATTTTCTTCTAAAAAAGATCAATTAATTTTATGAACTTGGGACACGATAATTCTGGGGGAACAAGATTAAAGACTGCATCTTTTTTTTTAAACCAGACATACTAGATCTATATAGTTAGCTTTTATTATACGAGGCATCAAAACAAAATCATCATTCAAGCTCACTTTGAATTCTCTTCTCTGCAGACATGTAAATAAATTAACCAAGACATATTCGCAAACTAAAGAATTCACAAATAAATAATACAAACTAAACAATTAAAACAGAGAATTTGAACTCGAAATAATAAAACTAAGAATTCCAAAATCGACCTTCTGTGGTTTGGGACAGACAGTTTCTATTCCAAACGATAGAATTTTATAAAATGTATATTATAGGTAGGTTAGTTTTGTTGTAACTAATTTTGTTGTAGCACATAATCCATAGCTACTCCATAGCAAAGCTCCTTTAGTAGTCAAACAAATTTGTTTTTATATTAAAATAGTATTTATTTAAAAAATATTTTAGTACAAAATGTCAAGCTACATACACATCTGGGTAGAAAATTTTGCTTATAAATAAAATTTGTGCTTATAAATGAACTTATAAAAGATATCGGATAGAAGCAACGGAAATCTTATAATTTTCCAAATGCCTATAAGCTGGTGTACAGCCGGACCTTAATTTACAACATAAAATTTATTCATAAACAATATACAAAATATAATAGTTACATAATCTAAAGAAAAAAATTCGAAAACATGCATGTACTATAAAACTTTTTAAATTTTTTTTTATCCCTTTCTTAAAATATTCTTCGAAAACCCCAGGAAAAAATAAGAGTTATTTTTAAACATAAGTTTTCTAATATCAAAAAGATTTGAATTTCTTTTTATTCTTTATTTTAAACTTTATTCCTTTTAAATTTAATACATATTTTTTTTTTCGGAAAATCACGTTTATCAAATAAACTTTTAGATTTTATTGTACAGTATGCATGTAACACAAAATATGAGGGGGAAGGGATAAGATCTAAGGACAAAATATAAGGTAGAAAATTGAGAATAAAATAAATAAAGAGAATTTTTAAATTTTTTCCTTTAAATTATGAAAAATAAATAAAAGTCTTAAAATTTTATTACAAAATATGTTACCTATTTTACGTATAATATTTATTTAGAAAATCTAGATTATATAGTACCCCTAAAAAGTAATCACACCTATTTAAATTTGAATTAATCGAAGCAAATGATTCGATATTCCGAAACAAATAACAACAAAAGACTGTTAATAAGAAATATTAGAAGGAATTGTCCTTCCCCTTTGCCAATGTTCGGCGCTGGCAAGAAACGGGGCGGAGATTCCTAAGATCTTTTTTCTTTTGACAGACCGGTTGAATGTAAATGTCAGAGGCCTTAGCCGGTTTTTGGAAAGTTCGAGTTGGTGTTTTTATAAGGTTGCGGGATTTTGTGAATTCAGCGGTATCACAAGGTGCTCATCTGGTATCTAGCATATGGGCGTCAACATAACCTAACCTATTATTATTAAACTTCTTTAAAATATAACAGTTCAGTTAATGGTGCATAAATAAATGAAATTAAAACCTTAATTCAAATCACCTTTATTCGTTTTATTATTATAAAATATTCTCCTAAATATATGCAAAAAGCATATAAAAGTTTTAAGGTATGATAAATATTTACTAATAATTTTAAATTTTACTTATTTATTTTTCTTTTTTTGCAATAAAAACTATTTCCGTTTTACATATTACATTTAGACCCAAAACAGAATCCTTTCACATTCATATTTAGCAAATTTCATATTTAGATGACAATAAAAATAAAATCCTTATTTTTTTTTTTTAATAAATGGGGTTTTTATTATTCTCATTTTTCTCTAAAATCTAATGCTGTGTAAAATTTAAATGGAAATATTATTGTGAATCCTTAAAAATAAATAATATTTAAAATATAATTCAATTTTTTTTTTTAATTCACAATAGCTACATGGAAAAATATTTACCGCAAAATTCCTATAATCTTCTCTATTTAATTTTTTTTTTAAATTTATAATAAAAATTACAGGTGTATAAGTGTTATATATGCAAAGTCTAATCTTTTTTATTTGTATAACATTATAATAGGGTATTATACATAAATAATTATTATTTGGTTAACATTCAAAACTGATGAAGCTTTTCTTAAATATATACAGGAATCCCGGACATTTTTATGGTGGTAAATTAAATATTACAAAAATTGGAATATTTTCAAATGATCATGGTTTAATTTTGAAAAAATGGTATAGAAGTCAAAGTACAGTTATACGTCGAATGAATATGCAAAATGTACCAATTCGTTGTATGATTGTGGTAAGTATACATATAAGTATTTATTGTAATTGTATATACGAATATTATTAAAGTAACTGTAAGGTTGAAGTGCTGTAAACATTGTATTCATCGAAAAGAGTGGTCAAGGTTGAAAGTCTACTGTATTATCTATGCGCGGAACAGGCTAAAACAGCAGAGCATTTGAGGTCAGGCTGCTTTAGACGAGGTTTTGTTATCCCTTCTTAGGTTTGACGATTCCCAGCGAACGGAATACTGACATTCGTATAACAGATATTAAAAAATTTATATTAGCTTACATATAAGGGAAGGTACCATATAACCCGTGAAATTTTGAAAATCTTTAAAGGCATTTTCTAGCTTAACAAAAAATGACACAGGGGTTTAATATATAAGGGGTTTTTATACGATATTTTAAAAAAAATTTCAATAAAAGCAGTGTCGTACCACAAATACGAAAAATCACTTTCATCTATGCAAAATTACAAAGATAACCATGAGATGTTTCCCCAAAATTTCAGTGGAATCGACTGAGTAGAATTGTAATACCTAAAAAACCTACACCATAATTTTAATAATATAATATATTAACATACATGTTATTAATTTAACTTCTTTATAATATTTTGCAGACAACAAAAAATGTTGAAAATCAATCACTAGTTCAATATTTGGAAAATCGTACAAATGCTCATTTAGATTCAATGCATCATTTTAGTTTTGCATTGCTATCACACGTGAGTGACATATTTAATTTTAAGTAAGTACAAATATCTATTATTTATATATATACTTATACTTACATAACACTATATATAAGAGCCTAATTTCCAGGACTAAATAGTAAAAATATTCCTCAACCTTCTTGTACACGCAATTTACTACAAATGTAACCTACTCCTATTATACGTTATAAACTCAAATATCCTTTAAATATATTCAATTATCCTTTAAAAAAATTACCCTAAATTTCAGACTGAATTTAACTACAACAAATTCATGGGGTTATTTAATAAATGGTACATATGATGGTATGATTGGTGCTTTAATTCGAAATGAAACTGATATTGGTGGCTCACCAATATTTTATCGTTTAGAACGTGCAAAAGTTATTCATTATACTTTACATAAAACTTGGATATCAAGGTATGTATTGCGTTTTACACATACCCTAGCTACACTTAATTTTTTTATATTATACACTTAGTAAGGCCTTTAATGTATTCTCTAGAAAATTAATTATCTGAATTCTCTACTCTATAGCTATCAAGGAATATGTACACTTGTAATTTTTTATATCAATATAAAAGCAACGTTGACAGTAATGGCGGGAATCCTAATAATAATTTTTTCAGATGATAAATTGAGTGAATTCTCAACCTATAAAATAGTACCCCAAATTTTAACACCGAACCCAATATAAAAAAAAATTTTGAGCACATTTATAAAATGTCTAAAGAATTTTTTTTTTTTCAGCCTAAATATAGGCAATAAAAATAAAATATTTTATAATATATTTTCGCTATTGAATTTTCTAACGTGTTAAATTTACATATAACCTATTTTATCGGTAAAATTAATGAATTTTTAAAACAAACTAATTTAAAATGTATTGCATGTCACCCGTTTCATCTTAGTTTCTTGTCATAAATTCAATTTAATTTTCATAATATTATCAATCAAAATTCCTTGATCAATATTTCTTCAAATTTCATTTTATTTTTTATTATACACGCCTGACACCATAATATTCCAAATATAAAACTCATAAAATAAAATGGTAAATGAACAAAAAAATAACATAAAAAAATACTACAGACGCATTTGAAAATTGAAAGGATATTAAAAGAAGGGTTTTAAGATCAAGACATCTCACAATATATTTGCTTAGTCTATGTGTAGTACATGCAATTGTTTTTCATCTTCAATTACAACCAGCAATAAGAACAGCATTAAGAGTATGTACAATGTATACAAGGTTTAATAAAAAAAAAATAAAAATATTTATATTAAAGAGACAATAACATTAGATAGAACGTTTTTGAAATTATTTGAACATTTGATTGATTGAATAAATATGATGGACGGTTACCTTTATTGCAAAACGAGCACAGATGCTAAACTCTGACAATTTAAAAAAAAAACTATTACGTTAAGTGGAAAATATAAAAAATTGTCAACATAAAAATAAAATGAATAGATAAATTATCATAAATTCTATCAAAAATATTGTTTGCATGTATGCAAGTTCCATTTATATAGCGGAATACAATATGAGAGAAAATTAATAAAGGGTGCACCAGTAGAAACAGAAGAGATATTGTCATATTTATTCAATTATTCAATACTGTACTAATGTTGTTATATATCTGCGACACGGATGAACTATATTGAGGTTCTTTGAGTCACCAAATATGGTTACAGGGTTTAGACACTAGACATCAATTTCTTAATTAAATTCAAATAAATTTGCTAATATTTAATTATGGAATTATTCATTATAATTAATTTTTCTGGGGCCGTTTGAATAATGCCGATATAAGAATTTGAAAAAATTTACGAATAGGTGGAAAATTTTTTAAATATCTGCATATGCGGATATTATATCAAATGCATTCACCCCTTTAAGTGTATAAAGCATCCAGATTACCTCTCTACCAAACACTGTTATTCGTCAATACTCTAATTTGTGTCCGTGTTTTGTCAATATCTGAGGTATTTCTGCACCCTACCATTTACCTATGGGTTCCATTCGACTGTTTTGTGGCGTTGTGCATGCACCGATTCCTTTCAATAATCAATGATTGCCCCTATATATGTAGGTCATTATTGCTAATTCTTCTATCCTTGGAAATTTTGCATATGATTCTTAGGCATATATTGATGAATACCTGAGCTTTATTAATGTTTTTCAGATTTACCCGGCAGATTTCGGTACAATACTTTATAAGACTTGTAATATAACTAACAAATTGTCTCTACTAGACCATCCTGTTTTATGCACTTTTTTTAATTTAACGTTTCCTCTAATATATGTAACTTAGTAATACTGTAAAGAACATATAGTAATTTTTTAATTTATGTAAGTGTTTTCAAGCATTATTCACCTTCAACATTTTTAAATAAGATGTCCACCATATGAAAATTATTAATCAATTATATTCACAATATGCATTAGTGAATGAATAAAAATAGTGGGTCATATTTCATAGTTTTACGCATATTTAAAATTTTAAATTATATTGAAAATAGTTTCTTCTTCATTTCCACTTCAATAAATCGGATAATATACGAAATCAATTAATTAGAATTGGAATGTTTTTTAAATTACAAATGCATTTTTTGCTTCATTTAGTCAAAATACTCTCTTTAATGACTTCGATCCCTCACTAATTTACCCATAGTTAAATTTGTAATTTAATAATATTTTTTTGAATTTAATCAATATTATTTTTTTCCATTTTATAGAAATTGTTTCATATTTCGCCACCCGAAAACTTCAAATTTAAAGGGAATTGTTTTTTTACAACCATTCGAAAAAAATGTTTGGATATCAATTAGTTTATGCTGTTTAATAATAATTTTAATTGGATGGTTTTTAAATTTAAATGAGGAAAATTTAAGAAAAAGGAAAAAATTTAATAAAATTATTAAAAGAGCGGTTCCAGGTTTGTATATTTTTTTCCTTTTTTCATTTTATGCTGTAAAATATTGAATATTAGAACGAAACCTTGTTGAATATTAAAAAACATAGGTAGTTTTGAGTAATTCAATTGAAATACACACAAAAAAAAAACTTAGTAATAATTACCAAAAACTGAGTATAAACTACTATTTTTCATGGTACTTTTGTGCTAACAAGTAAATTTGGTAAAAACGACAAATCTTTTACCAAATATTTTGGTAAAAGTCTTAAAATTTAAAATTGACACTTATACTAATAAAAATGGTAGGAATGACGAGCATTCATGGTAAAAGTGACAAAAACAAATGGTAATAATTACCAATATACTTTGGTAAAAATAAAAAATGGCATTGGTAAATTTTACAAGTACATATGGTAACAATAACAAATGAGAAGGGTAATTATTACCAATACGCTTTGGTAAAAATAAGAAATGGTACTAGTAAGTTTCACAAATATATATAGTAATAATAAAACTGGAAATTTTAATTATTACCAAACGTACAAGTAAAAGTGATATGGCAAGAATCGTCTTTTTATTTGAGTTTTCTTTTCATTTACCAATTCATTTAATATTAACTGAGATGATACTTATGGAATCTGAAATTACTTAAAAAAAACTTGTTAATAAATTGTTTTTCTATTTTAAATTTTTATTTAAACATTTAATTCACTTCAATTTTTTTTATTGTTAATTATATAAAGTTAATATCAAAAGGAAACATTTTAGTGTTTAAAAAATAACGTTTTAAATAAACTATACAAAAAAAAAGTTTAGAAAATTTTAACAAAAATCATAGCAGATACACAATGCTAAAATATTACTTTTCAGTAATACTACTTTGATTTATTTCATCAATTAGAATATTAACTGATGAATGATTAGTGTTGTTACATATTCCATAAAAAAAATTGGCGACGAAGCTCCAAAATAAATTGGCTTGAATTGGAAATTTTAAATTAAAAATGTAAAAAATTTTAAAACATGTATCTACTGCTTTTGCTATGGAATACATTTTGTATCTTATTCCATCGAAGTAAACTAATATTGCCTCTGGATTAGAGATACAACCTTGAACAAGCAGCAGAGGTTGAATAGAATCTTGAGATTGAATTTTTTCTTGAATTAAATCTTCAACGTTTTGAGCTGTCCTTCCTATAATTACGAAGGCATTTTGTGAGTCTCGAATGGTAAATTTTTTTTCCCTTTATCCACAGTTGTCCACAGGGTCTGACAATATTATGCAGTAAATACATCGTTGTGAGTGTTATACCATCTAAAATAGAAATATTGTAAATATTTTGTTAATCAATTTAAAAAATTTGAATACTACGCTTTAAGGTGTAATTTATTGTATTAGAGTAAAGTTTAAATTTTATGTCATGTAATTAAATCTTACTTTCAGAAAAATTTTCGTAATTTTGCAGAACTTCGATTAGTTCCTTTGAATTTTCGTCTTTTATTCTCTCTGTGAATATTTCTCTCATTTTCAAATGGAAACTTGAAATATCTTGCAGTGCATTTTTTGCATTGGGAAACAAGTTTAAAAAATCAATATCAAACTGCAATATTTGAAATTATACAATCACATAACGTATCTAATATTAAATAATAAATATTGTTATATATGATTCCTTACCAGTTTATATCCCAATGGATCTTTGTACTGTAACCATTCTTTCAAAATGTCATTAGTTGAGGTCATGGCGGATATTTGTGTCAACCTATAATTGCTAGTTTTTTTCCAGATTTCTTCAAGCTCTGTGTGAGTCAATGATGGACCTTTTAAAATTTTTAAATATTGATTTAAATATACATTTATAATCACTATTTTTATTTAAGTAATGGAAAGTTTTTAAATGACGCAAAAAAATTACTAAATTATCGAAATTCTTCCTACATTTAAAACATTCTATAGTAAACATTTTAAATACTTTAGATTACGTACAACACATTAAAATTTTTAAACTAAATCTGAGCACAAATATTAACACGGTTTTTTTAAGTTAAATACAGTCCCTAAAATTATATTTAATTGATACCACCACCAAATATATTCAAACATTTATTTGTTGTCAAACTGTAATTTTCTTCTCAAATTTTATTTGTAGACTTATTGGTAAATAAATAATTAATTTCACTTTGTTTTATTTTTTTTAATTTTATTATAACTAAAAATTTTTTAATTTTATTGTAGTTAAAACTTTTATAATTAAGTTATAAAACACTTCTTTCTCTTTGACGAACGAACAACGAAATGACGTGATACAACAAGCCGTTACATTACCAAAAGTTATTAGGAATTTGTTTTGTAATACTTACCAAGCTTTTGTAAAATCTACTTAAAGACATGGTAAAACTTATAAAATTAGTGGAATTTACAAAAGCAAATATGGTAGAAATTATTTTGTAAGTAATTTTTACCAATTTCATTTGTAAATTTTACCAAAAGTTTTGTTTCTCTAATAAAAAAACATGGTAATATTTTACTAAATTACTTTGTGAAATTAACAAATTCGTTTGTATGTACGGTACCAATAATTTTTGTTGTTTATACTAAGAAATTTGTTTCATTTACCAAAAAAAATTTTATTTTTACCAATTTTTTTTGCATAATTTACTAAGCTAATCGTAAATTATAATTTTACCATGTTTTTTTATCTTTTTTACCAAATTTTTTTGTTAATATAACCAAAATTGTGGAAAAATTTGGTAAATTTGACAAAAAAATTGTAAATATTACCAAAAAATGATTGTACAGCGTTTTTTACCAAATACTTAGTAAAAATTACAATTATTTTTTTTTGAGTGTATTTGGACAATGATGGTATAGATTTCCAATTGCTATTATAATCTCTGACATTTTTTACATAATAATTAAAAATTTTTTTTGCAATTTTTAAAAATACACGAGATTTTTTAAAATTTTTTACAATTATATGGATTATGAACTGATCCTCTCCTTCTTATAATCTCCCTTGTAATATTTCATCACCCCTTCTACACTCCGTTTTTAGTCCGCTCCTCTAAATCATTCTTCAGAAATGCGATTCCTTCCTAACAATTTCCGATTTTTTTGTAGCATATTTCAAATGAAATATGAAAATTACATTCATACTTTCATACCGCATTTATATGTGAATCGTAAAATGGTTTTTGCTTTCCACTCTCAGAATATTACATAGTCCTCTCGTTTTTGAAATGTTGTGTAAAATTTTTTTCTAGTAACTCAATTAGAAAAACGGGAATATTTATACTTTGTCCCACAATAATTGTACAAAAACTTTCACTAACAATTCATAATCTAATTTTTTAGTTTTTCAAAATTTTACCAATCAATTAAATAAAATCCTTTAAAAACATTTCAAATTAATTACATTTAATTTTATATATATCAGGAAAATCTATGTAAAATGATGAAAATTCAATCACGAAAATTTTCCTTTTGCGCTCCATTTCCTTTTTTTTTTTAAATTTTAATTTTTATAATTTTATTCTAATTTTAATTTTATAAAAATGGAAATTAAATTTTTTTTCTCCGTTTAGATTGAATAAAATTTTCTCTCAAAAAAAATCTTCCAACAAAATCCAATAACCTAAATTTTTATATATACAAACAAACAATAAGAACAAACAAACATGAAAAACAAGAGAAAAATTCTATAATAGGCATCCGAAAGAGTATAACTCCAAAAATTTAAATTTTCAGGAAGAAGAAAAAATTGAATGAAATTTTATGTGTTACGTATAATTCTACTAATTCATAAAAAAGACTTTAATGTTTTTAATAATTTTCTAAAGGTTTGCTGCATTTTTAGAAATTTAAAAAAAAAGATAAATTTTCTTTATTTAAGTATCGATCACTGCGGCGATTTGTACTGTTCAAATTACTCAATTCCGTCAACTTTTATATTATTTACGAAATTTCAGGGAAATTCACTGAGTATTTTCTTAAAAAGAAGCTGAATTTGAGATATTGATCTGAACATACCCTTATTTTATGCAATGCAATCGGTTAAAAGGAGTAAAAATTAATTTCAAAAAATAAAATGCAACTTTGGCTTTAAAATATTTATTTTTACAAAAGTTATGTGTGATTCATAATTCAAAACTTAGTGGTTAAATGAGTACAATTGGTCACAATTGAAATAGCAGCAACAAATTAAATTATTGTAGTTGTAACAGTATGTGCCCATATACAGTCAAAATATTTTGATCGCGTAACTTTGTAGGGGTTTTAATTACTAATTTTATCAATTAATTTTTGAAGGTGTTCTAAACGAAATTGAGCTATAATGTTTTTAAAGAAGACGGGGCATGAGTTTTGTTTATCATTTACCGTTTTTGAAAAAAATGGACTTACACTATTTTGAACGCCCGCTATAGAAATTAAAATTTCGAAAATATTTTAAAAGAAGATTTTTTACTAAAAACATTTTTCAAAATTTTCTTATTTTTCTCTTTTTTATGATATTAAAAATAATAATAGTTTCATTTTCATCAAAAAAATTTTTCTTGTAAATCCTGCAGAATCCTGTAAATACTTCTTATGTTTTTTTTGTTTTTTATATTATTTTAGTAGCATTTTAATTTCACTAAAATATTCCGCTTATTTTATTATTATTTTTTTATAGTTTCTTTCTTATAATTTTCTTATAGTAAAAAATTTTATCAATTTTCATTATCCATAAAAGAAGGAAAATTTCAACTTTATTGAATTTGAATGGTAATAATAAAGCTTTTCAATTCAACATTTTTCATTTTTTGCTCAACATGAAACCAAAAACAAAAAAATATAATAATAACTTTTCAAAACCACATAGAAAAATAAGAAATCAAAATTTGGTATGGTTTAACTCTTTAATGCTTGAGATTATTCAGAAAGTCTATGACAATAATAATTG